CAGCTTTATCTCTAAGTGTGTCTGATGAGAGACCACCTACATCAACAGAAGACTTTATGTGTCCGCTTACGACTGCATACTGGCTGGGCACAGACGTAAGTGCAGCAAAGACATTTATTTAAACACTCTTTGGCTGCAATACTAAGTGAAAAATACCTGGAAGATTTAACTCCTTAGGACTCTGAAAAACAGAGAAAGACGAAGATAACATCTGAGACAAATTTTGCATAACTCCCTAGTAGGGAGAAACACAGAAACGCACATGTGTGTACACACACACACACACACACACACACACACACACACACACTCACTCACTCACTCACTCTCTCACTTCCTCACCCATGTTTCTTTCTAGAGGAACTGCTCACAGGCAGCAGAAGGAGCATTTGCTCACTTCCTAAAGCCCCATGTACCCTTACCACGTTCCACGGTCCTCAGTCTGAGGACATTTCTCCTCTCCCCTACCTAATTCAGACTTTCTTTCCAAAACAGAAGCCATGGGATCCGAGGCAGAGGACGTCAGGTTCCTCTGCTCTGTGGACTTAGCGCAAGTTGTCTCTGCCCAAGTTTCTGGTCAGGAGACATAGGAAAGGCAGTCTTAACCTCACCCAGCTTCAGTTTTGCAAAGGGTCCCCAAAGTCTTGAGGACTCACTCCATCTCATCTATAAATTATCTCAGAAGGGCAAGAGGGCAAGGGAAAGGCCAGAAGTGAAAGGGGGTACACATTAGGGGTGAGGGAAGGGCAGGGAGAGGAACTTTTATTGTTTACAAAAAGATTTGCTTTTTAAAAACAAATGTTGATTTTTCTCCCCCACCCCTTGTCCTCACCCCAATAGTTCTATTCTGAAAAAGAGGGGAACATAGTCAGGTCGGGAAACTCTTCACTGCTGTAGCTGCTGCTCTGCTCCCCCAGCATGGACAGCATCTCCTAACAGGAGAGAAACAAGTCTGGGTCACACATCTCTGTTCCTTCCCTTTAGCGAGCTCCCCCCGCAACGCTCCCTGAACCATCACCGGTCCCAGAGTTCCTGCTGTGCTAGCTCTAGCCCTCCTTACTCCCAGCATGATGCCTTTAGATCGGGGGTCCCCAACCCCCTGGCCGTGGACCGGTACTGGTCCATGGCCCGTTAAGAACTGGGCTGCACAGAAGGAGGTGAGCGGCAGGGAAGCGAGCGAAGCTCCATCTGTATCTGCAGCCGCTCCCCAGCGCCAGCATCACTGCCTCAGCTCCGCCTCAGATCATCAGGCATTAGATTCTCACAGAGGGACCAATCCTTGGCACCACAGAAGGTGGAAACCGCTGCTTTCGATGACAACGTTTTTCCTAGTCCTTCCTCTGTCTCCCTCCTCCAGTTCCACATTTTCCTTCCTTTCTAGTCCTCAGTATTTTCAAAGGGAGAAAAATTTGCTTGCCACATTTCATATAACCCCCTATAGGAAGAGATGGAGTATCTCTTATCCTCGTTGGTTTTCCACCCAAAAGGAAATCAGCAGCTTTCTTTCGACCTGTGTCTTAAACTAGCCTTTCCTGTGTGCTGCCTGAGACGACTCCAGGACGTATGTGAATGGCCCTTTATCACTATCATCAGCATGTGTACACCCGGGCTAGGAAGGAGGAATGTGATTCTCTTTGAATGGGCTAAAACTACTGTCTTTGACATTGTTGCACAGTGCTTCACGTAATTTAACTGGTCTCATCAGAGGCTATGCATCACACTAAGTTCACGATCTTTCCAAGTAATGACATTTAGCCCCACACGTCTGCACACGGTCTCCCCCTACGCCCCCAATCGCACCCTATCCACGCCTGCTCCTCTGTCTGTCCCTCCCCGACCCTTTCTGATTTCCTGAAGTCTTTTCACCCTCTCACCTGGAAGACCTCAGGCTGGCCAGGTTGCTGTGCTGATGGCTGTTGAACATGTTGCTCATTGGAACTTGAACGATGATGAGGCTGCGGGCCCTGCCACTGTGGCCAGACTCCCACCCCCTCTGCTGTCCGCGTCTGGAACTGTCCTGTGGTCTGCCCGGCCTGCTCAGGAGCTGGTGTGGAAGATACAATGTCAAGCCACCAACTCCAGTGCAGAGGAAACAAGTCACTAATTCCACCTAGAAACTTTCTTCTCTCTTCCAATCAATGCCTCTTCTACTTCAAAACCCAACCCAAATCAATGTTTCTTCTCTAGGTAGCCTTTCCAAAGAGTCCTCTGCTCGTTTTAAATTTGCATATTATTAAATGTATACCTTACATGCTTTTTGTTTTATGTGCAAAAGTCTTTTCCATGTATCGGACAGGTTTTAAATTCCAAATGGACTATCACCTTGCACTTCCCCAACATTAGCTCGTGCACCCAGGACACAAGCAAACTAGTTTAATAAACTACCAAATCCTTTCTCTTTAGTGGTACGATTTTCCGGGTGCCCTCCTTCTAGACCGAACTCACCAAAGCTGGATCCCCGACTGGTGAGACTAGGGTATGCAGCGGCACCAGGGGACGCAGTGGAAGCACCGGGAAGGGACATGGGGCTGAAGGACGATGGCGTCTGAAAGTTGCCCACACCGAACTGGGAAGAACGGGTCTTGGCTGTGGCTTGGGTGGCCACTTGCTGGAAGGGAGAAAGGGACAGAACACTGACACTACTGCACACGCCACTTCTGTGGGATCGACCCTCTCTGTCAATCCCTGGTTCTTCTGAGCCAAGCTCATCTCATTGTTTATTTCCTACTGTGTACTCCTTCCAATGAACTCCCAGTCTCTCTTGACACTATTTTTAGGCAGTTGTGAAAAAGTGAGAAAAGCAAAGAACTATGGGATTAATAAAAGTATACATTTAGAATTGTGATAAATAAAAATGGTTTAAATGAAAACATTTAATAAATTGTAAAGTTATATAAAAACTGGAGGCATTAATAACAGTATAATACTATACATAAAGAAAAAACATTTTGCATCATTTTATTATTCAGTCTGTATCGCATTTATCTGTTCCTAATGATATCTTTTTCTGGGTAACTGAACATTTTTCTCACCATAATAGTAATGCATATGCATTGTAGAGAATTTTAACAGTGAAGGAAAATAAAAAAATAATTGTTCATAATTCTACCACCAAAGACCCACGGTTAACATTTTGGGATAAGTTCTCCAGTTTATTTTCCGGTGCATTTTTTATACAATTAAAATCATACTGCATATAACAATTTTGAAGCCTACTTTTAGTTTTGGCTTTTTTATTTAAAGTATTAGTATTTAACTACTTACATTTATACTACTATTATATATTATGATATATAACACATATTATATATACTGTTATGTGTGTTATATGTCTATTATATATTATCAATGTATGTAAATATACAAAAGAATATTAGCTTTAGGCTTAACATATATAGACACATAAATGTTATATAAAGACTTGTCAACACGTATATTTCTTTTGTAAACAGACATCACTGTGTATAAATTTGTAACTAATTCTCTGCTTTGTTCCTCTACTTTGTAGTCCTAACCAAAGTGGAAACTTCTTAGAATTTACTTCAAAACCAATCCGAAAATCAAACCTATTCCAGATGTTCTGTGTGAGCGATTCTGATTTAAAGTGGATATGTGAAAACCATAAACGACTCTGAGGTTTTTGGATTGTATATGGTTTTTAATGATCTAGTTGCTCCCAACAAAGATAAAAATTGGAAGGTAGGTAGTAGGGGTTGCAGAGAAAGTGTCTAAGATTAACAATAACTTTATAGATGGAAAATAGCCCAACCAACCAAACAAGAAACAATACACAGACGATAAAGAGAGGGGCAGCTTTACCTGGGCAGAGAAGCCTGGGCGAGTGCTAGGGGTCCACGCTGGGGCTGCTCCCTGGGTGGGGTTGGAGTGGCGGGAAATCTGGGCCAACATCTGCCCTGCAGAAGCTGATGGCTGCACGATGGTTACAGGAGGGGCCAGACCACTATTTCTAGGAGTGAAAAAATAGTAAGGTAACGGATTAAAAGGGTGAGTTTACCATAGAATCTAGGAGTCACAAGACAATCTAGTGCTATCCTTGGATTCCCTCGACTTCCCTGGGGTTAAGGAAAACTTGGTAACAGAATTTAGAAAACACGAGAAAGACTGACAGTCACACACTGATCAGGACACACGGAGATGGAACCTAGAACATGGCAATAGGACAGGTGCAAAGAAATAGGAGGAAGGAAAGCAGCTTGCCTTGTCCTAGGCCCTGCAAGTTCCAGTGCTTTGTCTGAAATAGCCAGAGAAAGCTCGCGAAGAATAAAACCTGGATTCAGCAAGCGAATCCCTGAGTAGCCCTGTAAAGCAGCACACACATATGGGGCTCACCTGAAATTCTCGGCCGGCCGGGGGGTAGGAGGGAATGTGCTGCCCTGGGAGAATAGCTGTTGGGTGGCGGGGACAGTGCTGGAGGAGATGCCTTTACTCTGATCTGTGGACCAAAAGGAGTGGGGGGAGGGCCAGTCAAGGGGCTGTAGTGTATCAGTTCAGCAAGTTCCTATTTACTCAGGAGGTGTTATGATTAAGTGGAAATATGTTGGAAGACTACTGACTGGTCTGCAGCAGACCTATCAGCAAGTGATCAGAATGAGAATTTAAAGGCGAATGAGGAAGAAATATACCTGCATTGATGTTGGAGTAGATTTCTGAAAATCTTGGATCTCCATCTTGGGCAAAGAGACCATCTGACTTCTCAAGGGGCTTGCTGTGTTCTGGCCCTGCGGCTGTCACAGGCTGAACAGAAACCTGTGGAATACAGTGATAAAAATAACCATGGAAGGTTTAACATGACAATTCAATAACCCTAAAATTCATTTACAATACAGATATACGCTAACTGGTACCGGGGGACATTTCTTAAGGAAATGCTCACCGTCCTCTTCAAAAGCACACTAACCTGGGAATGATTGTAGCTGGCCAGTCCATCTCTTCCTGGTACCACATCCAATTCCGTTTGCTGTGGCTGCTGCCTATATGTTAAAGACCAGTGAGGAGATAAACAGGAAAAAAGATTTTTAAAAAGAATCTAGGGAAAGGGCTTAAAAAATAAACAAAAAAAAAAAAAAAAACAAAAAAAAAAAAAAAAACAAAAAAAAAAAAAAAAACAAAAAAAAAAAAAACTGGGACTGCAGACAAGCACACCCTGGGTTAGTCACTGCTCAATAAACGATTATTCCACTATTTCTCACCTGGGTGCCAGCTGCCCTGTGCCCATCTCCAGGGGTAAATTAGCTGTGGGACCCAGCTGTGGCCTCTGGATTGTGCTGGATAGTGTAGGCCGTGGTTCCTGGCTGGAGTTCCTGGAAAAATGGAGAGTAGATGACACAGAGAGGGGAAAAATGTATCAAATTCTCTTTGCACATAAAGGTCTGTATATTCACCTGTAGTTGGGGCAATCACAATAAATTACTCCTTCAAGTCCAATCCTAAGGGTAACCTATGACTTCTGATTGAACAAATAATCCACACTGTGGACAACATGGTACAAAGAGAAACGATTCCTATGGCACAGGGGTTCATCCTGTTGGGGTTCTAACTCCTCCCAGGTATTCAACACCTGGTTGTTGTGGACGTGTATGTAACTATGTGTGTATAGCCATATACTGTGTTTTAAAAAAGGGTAAGTAAAAAAACTGAAAGTACATACACTGAAATATTAAAAAAGACTATTTCCGGATAGTGTGAATTTTTTCCTCTTCTCTTATAGCTTTCAATACTTTCCAAATTTTCTACAAAGAATATTTATTTTAAAACATTAGTAATTAATTGTGTTGAGGAAAACTCTATGCAACAATGAGGAAAGCCATTATTTCCAGAAACAAGTTCTTAAAAAGACTTTAAAAAATTCAAACAAAATGGAAACACAAAACAATAGCTGTTCTGTAATGTAAAGATACAAAAAAAAAACCCCCACACACAACTCTACAAAGATTGTGACCATATACCTGAGTCCTAAGTTAACAAAAATTTCTAAAATTCAATCCACTGTTATACCTAGTTAATTAGCAGAGAATTAAACTTTACAAGCCCTAAAAATTGAATTGGAGGATACACACTCAATGTTATTACCAGTTACTTGCTAATTATTTATAAACGGATCTTCAAGCGATGGGTTTAAAGTTGATTCTAGAACAAAAGATTAAACAGAAAATAACTACCATGACAGTCACTAGGATAGGCCCAATAAAAAGGACAGTGATAATGTGGAGAAGCTGGAACCCTCACACACAGCTGACAGGAATGTAAAATGGCATAGCAGCTTTGGAAAAGTTTGGCAGTTTCTCAAAAGATTAAAGACCATGAGACACGGAAATTCCACTCTCAGGTAAATACCCGAGAGAATAAAAACATAGCCACACAAAAACTAGTATAAAAATATTCATAGCAGCATTCTTAACAGCCAAAAAATGGAAACGACTCAAATGTCCATCAACTGATGAGTGGATAAACAGAATGTGGTATTACCATACAAGGGAAAATTATGTGACAAAAACAAATGCAATACAGTTATACGCTATAACATAGATGACCTTAAAACATTATACTAAGTGAAAGAGGCCAGTCACAAAGGAACCATATATTGTATGATTCCTTTCATATGAAATGTCTAGCTAGAGTAGGCAAATTCATAGAGACAGAGTAGCTTAGTTGCTATATACAGCTTGGAAGGTATGACTTAAAGACTGCATGGTATGTGAAAATTATCTCAATAAAACGGTGTTTTACAAAGCTGAGAAAGGAAAAAGCTCAAAGAGGAGAAATGAAGGAATAAGGAGGAACAGGGACTAACAAAAGAGTAGATGCAGCTATGCTCTAAAGCAAACTATGGTCCATGGGCCAAATCCAATACAATGCCCGTTTTTGTAACAAAGTTTGCTGCAACACAGACATCTTTGTTCATTTTATTTGTCTAGGACTGTTTTCATGCTGTAACAGCAGAGCTGAGTAGTTGCGACAGTGACCATATGTCCCACAAAGCTAAGATATTTACTGCCTGGCCTTTTATAGAAAGAGTTTGCAGATACCTGTTCTACAGAAAAGTCCTGCCAGACTAGAGTAATAATCTGGTGTATAAAACAAAATCCTTTCTAGAAAGGGCTGAAACATGAAATCGAAATACGCACCCTTCAACAAATCTCAGAACCTAGTCTCTAAATTATTGTTTGTTAAAATCTTATCCTACCTGGATGAACTATCCTAATGATAAGAAACTGGAAGATGAGGAACTTCAAACTAGTGGTGTTTACTACTAGAAAAACAGAAGAGGAGGTAGCGTGGTAAGACTAAGCAGACCTAGCCCAGAAATCCCAACACTGGAAAAGGCATTCATGGTACATACTTCACGCTGGTGTTGGTACAGATGATGTACTCAATTTCATCTGAGTACGGGTTCTGGAAAGTAAAGGAGCTGGTTCTCATCCACAGCCATTCTCTGTTCTTAGACCGGAACCGGAACATGACAGACAGCACCTGGCCTTTTAATTTCACCACCTGAAAAAGTTTTCACACTATCAATGAAATCACAAAAAATTTTCTTTAGGGAAAAAAAAAAATCCCAGTTCTATAAACCCTAAATTACTTGTGTCACTGTCCTTAAAGTCCCAGTCTCTTTCAATGTTACCAACAAAACATGAGGTGTGAAAACTAAGTGATTAAATAACGAGGAGAGAGAGATTTACGTGTCTTCCCAGAGTCCCAAGCTATCTGACCACTTGTCAAAGTCAAATAGGAATAACGATTATTTCTAGGAGAGAAAGGACTGTTTGCCCACTTCCCTTAAAGATAATGCTGATCTAGCTGTATAAGTCTATATAAGGAATTTCTAAGTTTAAGGACACTGAATTGCTCTTCAATTTTAGATTTTCCCCCCAAACCTGAGACTTTCATAGCACCCATGGAAGTTTCTATAAATAAAACTAAGTTGGCTTTTTAAGTCATATTTTGTTTTAGTTTTTTAAAAATAAACTAATTTTAGATTATTTTAGTTTCTAGTCTCATGAAATAGGAAACAATTTTTTGACCCTCCCTCACTAATAATAAAGAAATAATAATGTTAGCAACTAACATTTATTTTGTTACTATATGTCAACCATTGGCCTTTGTGCTTTTTTTTTAAGAACATCAACATTTATTTAACATGATAACAAAGAAATGTGATAATAACACTTTCATTTAAAAACAGTAAGCAGCTTTTAGTACTTACATGTACTCACTGCATAATACATACACAATGAACATAATCACATTTGCACACTAAGTAGTGGGTTTTAAAACCTGCTTATTGCTGTACAAATCTATTACAATGAAGTATAAGCCTGGTACTTCAAAGATCTACATTTTTAATTGTTTTTCAAGAAAAAGTAAATTGATAACATTTGTGTTTAGGCTGATGAGTGTGGCAGTAATTGCTGATGTGACAATCTAAAAAATAAGAATAGCAACAAATGGAACGTACTTAGCAAGAATAAAATGGCACGTTTTAAAAAAATAAATAAAACTTTTACAAATCAAGCATAAAACAAAGCACTGAAGTAACCAAAATGGGGGGGGGGCGGGGCGGGCAGGAAATAAGCTTCATTGGAATAACTAAATTGATGTACTGAAAAGCAAAAAGAAATATAGATCCATCTAGGCTTAAGAAAGATTGAAGTCTGGAAAGCAGCAACTAAGAGAGTGGCTGGAGAGCGCCTATTAAAAAGCACCTTTATTTATGCACTCTAAAATCATAGCAGCAACTGATGTCAGAATAATAACGCTGAGATTACAGAGTTGTATAGACGGGCCATTAAAGCCGTTTTGGAATAAACATTTTCCGGAAGTGATAAAATGATACTCTGTGGCCAAAAACATCAGAATTAGAAATTTCATGGATTTAAAATATACCCTACAGCATCTTCTCACATTGCTGAAGGTCCATGTCCTTAGCTTTGAATGGTTTCAACAGAAATCAAAATAGTTTTTCTTGAGATTACAGCTGAGTGGACAGAACTGGTGATACTGAGGACACAGGAGACAGACTTTCTACTGCCACTGTCTGATGTCCTCTAAAAGCTGGGCTATGCGCTTTAACTCATTATCTTATTTAATCTTCCAACAACCCTCTGAATTTAAGTACTATTATTAAATACACATTGTATCAGTGAGGACACTACTGAGGCATAAAAAGGAAAATTAACTAGCCTAATATAAAGAACTGCTACCCAATTCACCAGATATTTTCAGGGTATAGGTTCTGAAAATTACAGTTAGGAGTCAGCTTATAAGTCAGAGTCAATCCCATTCATCTATAAAAGAACTGTAAAATGAATTTTTCTACTACCCTTCACAGTTCAGTGAAGCCTAGAATATTTTAAATATCTTAAAGACAGTCCTTCGGATGCAGCTTACTAACCAAACAAAAATACCTTGGACGTTATCTGTAGTTCCAAAGTACTGAATCTTTTCTGTTCCTTACACAGGCTAAGTACCAAAGAATGTAAAACTGTAGTGCCTACTAGGGGGTAGTGCTCAATTCATCAGTAGTCAAGATGTATTTGTGGAATAAAGGTGATAACAGATATTAGATAAAAATGTTATTCGGACCCAAACCAGGAAAAAAAGTTACCTGTTGGAAGCTGTCCCTTAGAAGTTGCTGGTCTTCAGGATGACAGAATTCTACAATATTCTTTCCTAAGAGTTCCTAAAAGGGAAAAAGAGTCAGATCGACACTTTTATGAGCATCTAACTCTCTGGCCCATTACAGGGGGCCTGGATTCCATTTCTCCTGTCTTACAATCCCATATTTTTTTTACTTTTTACGCCTACAGCATCTGGTCTTCCTAGGTGGTCTCCCATCCAAGTACGAACCAAGCCTGACCCTGCTTAGCTTCCAAGATCAGACGAGATCGGACTTGTTCAGGGTGGCATGGCCTTAGACTCATTTCTCCTGTCTTTATTTTAGGATTTTAGTAAGTGGGAAGAAAAAGAGAAATGGAATCTGCTAAGCAACTTGACGCTAGAGCATCTTTTTCAGAATATTGTACGTTTATTTTAACTGCATTTTTTACAGGTTTAAGATATAACTTACATATATCTCTCATCTTAAGCATACAATTTGATATCTATAGTAAAGTTTTACCCTTGTGCAACCATTACCACAGTCGTTTTAGAACACGTCCATTGCCCCAAAAGTTCCCTTGAGCTCCCAATCCCCTAGCCAATCACTAATCTGCATAACTCAAGATCACAAAGACTTTCTCCTATTTTCTTCTAGAAATTTTATAACTTTAGCTCTTACACATTTACACCTTTATGTTGATTTTTGTGTATAGTAGGAGGTAAAAGTCTAAGTTTTTTGGTTTTTTTTTTAATTTGGATATCCAATTCTTTCATC